GGGTTCATATTTGTTGTCTGTACTGCCCATGTATTGAGTTTTACTTTTCTACCTAATTTTTAAGATAGTTAAACTATACTGAAAGGAATGTTGCACTGAGTCAGAAGACTCATTCTGAACCTGACTCACCCAGTTTTGTGCTCTGTATCCTTTAAAACAGGCAAAGGAAATCTCTCTCTCTTCCTAACTCCCAGGCTCTTTGCAAGGTTCAGATGATACATCAGTTGCCTTCGGAGTGGATTCCGACTCAGGATGCTTCACAGGGTTTTCAATGGAGGATTTTTTGGAAATTGCCAGATCTTTCTCCCAAGGAGCCTCTGGGCCAACTCAACTGCCAACATTTCAGGTAGCAGCTGAGCACACTGACTGTTTGCACGGCCTTGTGCAAGCTATAAAACCAAAAACGGGGACTCCAACCCATGGTGAGCCCATTTGTTACAGAACTGTTGCATAGGGTTTTCTTTTGTCTGTGATCTTTACAGAAGCATTTCTTTCTGCAGCGGAGCCCCTGGGGGGGTCTGAAGAGTCAACCTTGAGGGTAGCAGCCAATTTACAAAATGCTTATGCCATCCAGGTCCTTTGAAATCTGTAAAGCACCATATAAATGGAGGACATGTCTTCCTGCTCATCTTGATTTGTAACTTCAGAAAATGTTGGGTTGCTTCTAAGCAGAGGTTTAATAGTTTCCGGCTGAGGTGTGAGACTGTTAGACTGAAGTGGAGGACCAGTCCCAAGCACAGAAGGAGCACATTCATTTGAAGGCAAATGCTGCCACCTGGTGGAAATGGAAGGAGAGGGGCAAGTGTAGTTGACAACCTCTGGTCAGGAGCCAGGATGACAGGTGCTGCTGAAAAGAGGAGAATTGACTTGTTTCAAACGTATGATTTTTAAACAAGTGACTTGTTTACTGTTGTAAAAATGTTCTTTTGGAAATATTCTATTCACATACACAGGCTGTAGACATGTGACACCAAAAACCTACTGGTCTAATTAGTTGTTGTGGTTAGGTGCCATCAAGTCGGTTCCAACTCATAGCAGCCCTGTGTACAACAGAATGAAACTCTGCCCAGTACCACACCATCCTCACAATCATTGCTATGTTTGAGCCCATTGTTGCAGCCACTATGTCAGTCCAGCTCATTGACAGTCTTCCTCTTTTTCACCGACCTTCTACTTTACCAAGCATGTCTTTCTCCAGGGACTTGTCCCACTTGAGAAGTCCTGCCATCCTCACTTCAAAGGAGCATTCGGGTTGTACTTCTTCCAAGGCAGATTTGCTTGTTCTTCTTATATTCCATGGTATCTGTAATATTCTTCACTAACACTACAATTCAAATGCTTCAGTTCTTCCGTCTTCCTTATTCATGATACAGCTTTTATATGCCTATGAGGTGACTGAAAATACCACGGCTTGGGTCACATGCACTTTTGTATCAAAGCTATATCTTTTATTTTTTCTTTTTTAACACTTTGAAGAGCTCTTTTGTAGCAGATTTGCCCGATGCAATACGTTGTTGAATCTTGTCTGCTGCTTCCATGGGCATTGGTTGCAGATCCAAGTGAAATGAAATCCTTGACAACTTCAATCTTTTCTCCACTTGATGTTGCTTACTGGTTCAGTAGTGCAGATTTATTTTTCTTTATGTTGAGGTATAATCCATACTGAAGACTATAGTCTTTGATCTACATCAGTAAGTGCTTCAAGTCCTCTTCACTTTCAGCAAGCAAGGTTGTGTCATCTGCATATTTCAGGATGTTGATGAGTCTTCCTCCAATCATGATGTCGTGTTCTGAGATTATTTTCTCAGCATACAGATTGAATAAGTATGGTGAAATGATATAACCCTGATGCACACCTTTCCTGATTTTAAACTATGCAGTATCTTCTTGTTCTGTTCAAACAACAGCATCTTGCTCTGTGTCCAGGTTCCTCATAAGCACAATTAAGTGTTCTGGAATTCTCACTTTTCACAATGTTATCCATAATTTCTTATGATCCACACAGTCAAATGCCTTTGCATAGTTGATAAAACATAGGTAAACATTTTCTGGTGTTCTCTGCTTACGGCCAAGATTCTGCGTTCACATCCTCTTCTGAACCTGGCTTCAATTTGTGGTGGTGGTTTCCTGCCAATGTACTGCTGGAACCTTTTTTAATTATCTTCAGCAAAATTTTACTTGCGTGGAACTCTCTCCAAACCCTTTTGACTAACACAAACTATTGTGATCTAGCTCCTTTCTGTCTTGACCATAAATTAAAAACAGTAACAATAGCTTTTCATCTCTGCATTTAGGATCATGTCTTCATTTTTGCATTTAGCATAGAGCACCAGGCACAGTAGCCATCCATGTTAAATAAAGGGATGAATCCAATACTTCTCTCATCATTCAAGGTCACAAAGAGGACACCATAACCATGGTAAGACCAGGGAAGCTACCAGGATGTTTTTTCAAAACACTACATTGTTTGCTCTAGTGATGTAAAACATCTGTTCTGAAGTTTCTGTTATTAACTTACCTCTGTAGGAAATGAGACCCTACCATAGCTGATGGTACCCTATCACAATCATACTTCACTTTTAAAACTTTACAGTACCTTGCACCAGATAATGATAGTATATTCCTAAGGTCTAGATGAAAGTAAAGAATTACTCACTCAAAATTAAAAGTTAAAATAATGAACTTAATATAGAACTAACCCTATGATATTTAAGATAACAAATATCCCAAAGCAATACCCAGGGATGTCAGACATTAATTATTAAAAAAAAAAATCACCCAATTATACATAATTTCATGCTAATCTCAATGATGTCACTTTTCTTTTGGCATGTGTAACTCAAACAGGATCACCCCAATAACTGTGTATAAAAGCCCAAAGAAACTGGCAGCACACTATATTCTGCCCTCCTTTAATGTTATAGCTACCCACAGACCAAGTAGACATTTCTCCTAAGACCATGTCTCTCCGATTTTCTAGTGGATCCAGGCATCTTTGCTTACGATCTGGAACTGGATCTGTCAGATCACCTGGTGGAGGTGCAGGCTTTGCAGGCAGCAATGCATGTGGTAGCTCTGCTTCCGGAAGTGGTTTTTCCTGGGCCTTGGGAGGGGGCTTGGGCAGTGCTCCTGGTGGGAGCCATGGTGGTAGCGCCCTTGGAAGTGCTGCTTGTGTTGGCTTTGCTGGAAATGAAGGGCAACTCCTCTCTGGGAATGAAAAGGTGACCATGCAGAATCTTAATGACCGCCTGGCCTCCTACCTGGATAATGTGCGAGCTCTGGAGGAGGCAAATGGTGAACTAGAGAGAAAAATCAAGGGTTGGTATGAAAAGTACGGTCCTGGATCTTGTCGTGGACTTGAGCATGACTATACCAGATACCAGCTAACCATCGAGGATCTTAAGTACAAGGTGAGAAATCACAAATTTGGAACTGTGCAAATATTAAAAACAAAGAATTACCTAGCCAAAGGCATAGAACTACAACTTAAAAAGTTTCATACTGTTGTTTGTTCATTTATATTGTATTGTATTTATTTCTTTTGATAAATAATTCTATTAGTTAAAGAAATAATAAGTGTTTTGATTAAAAAATTTTAGTGTAGGTAAAATGTCACCAGCTGAGCTACTGACAAAAAAATTAGTTTCAAGTTCACCCTGAGGCAACTCAGGAAAAAAGTTTGGCAATCTTTTTTCCAAAAATTCAGCCATTGAAAACCTTATGGATCACAGTTCTACCCTGACACAGATGAGGTCACCATGATGCAGAACTGACAACTTGTAAAGTAATTCCATTTTAAATGTTTATCTTGAAGCATATTCATAGATAAGAAAGTATCACATCCTATGAGTTACATGGACAATGTGAGAAGAAAAAAAAACATATTTGTAATTTTTAAAAATTACATTTTAAGTATTTTGATTCTTAACAAATTTTTTATACAGAAATTGCATAACAATTTTGATTTAGAAGAGTAAATATTTATGTTGTGTTCTCCTTTCAATTTCTTCTAGATTATCTCTTCCACGACCGCTAACGCCAGTGTCCTTCTGCAGATTGATAATGCCAGGCTGGCTGCCAATGATTTCCGGCTAAAGTAGGTGATTGAAAATGATTGTGCTCTAGAAAATGTATCCTATCTATTTAATTTGTTAACTAAAATTTCAATTGTATCCCAAGTAGAATAAACTAAAAAGATAAAAGGAACAAGGTTTTTGTGTTATAATATTATAATTAAGTATACTGAAAATTTCTACATATTTAGTAGGTTCTTGGGCCAAAATATCACTGCCTTTCTATGCCCGCCTGGAACAGTACCAGGCACAAAGTATATGCTCAGTAAATATTCATTGACTAAGTAAAAATGTTAACTAAAATAAAATCTCAAAATGGTATTTTTTCTTTTTTTATGCTATAGCTTTTTTTTTTCCTTAACTTTTTATTGTGATTTGAGTGAAAATTTACAGAGCAAATTCGTTTTCCATTCAACAGTTCATACACATTTTGTTTCATGACGTTGATTGCAATCCCCACAATGTAACAGCACTCTTCCTACTTCCTCCCTGTGGTTACCTTTCCCTTATTCCCTTCTTTCCTAGGCATTCCTGCCCTCTGAGCTTTCTCCCTGTAAATGCTGCCTTTCTGATCTCCCATGGCTAATTGTTCTAAGGAGTGTACCTATCTGGTAAAATTGTTCACCTTGTAGGCCTGTCTACTGTTTGTCTGAGAGTTTAGTCATGGGACTGAGTTCAGTTCCAGGCCTGAAGGGTGTCTAGGGGCTATAGTCTTAGGGGTTTCACCAGTCTCCATCAGACAAGTAAGACTGGTCTTCTTTATGATTTTGAATTTTGTTCCACAATTTTCTCTCAGTCTATCCAAGATCTCCAATTTTGACCCCTTTCAGAGTGGATGGCATTGGTAGCCAGGGATCATGTAGTTCTTCTGGTCTCAGGGACTTGTAGGCTGAGGTTCCCATGGTCCACTAATCCCTTGGACTAATTATTTCCACATATCTTTGATTTTCTCCACTCTTCTTTGCTGAGACAAGGAAAGACCAATTGTTGCATCTTAGATGGCTGCTCGCAAGCTTTTAAGATCCCAGTCACTACTCACCAAACCAGGATGTAGAACAATGTTTTGTGTAGTATGTTATGCCGATTGAGCTTCATGTCTCTCATGACCATGGTACTGAGCCCAAAGACCCAGTGACTTACTCCCTCGGGTGTTTAGTTTTAGCTCAGAAGTTATAATTTTGCCCCCTGTTAGCTCTATTATATGTATGGACATCTTTATAGATATGTACAAATACATGTGTGGAAAGATCATCTGCCAGACTTGTATATGGTCAAGTGTATATTCCCTTTCACCTACCCATATCTGATCATCTTGCCTGTCTACCTATGTATCCACCTGTAGATTAATGTTTGTTATTACTAATAATGCAGTATAGTACATGTAAAAGTATTTACGTTTGTTATCTGTACCTCCTGTGCACCTCAAAAATGGTATGTTTTTATTTAGCTCTGGTAGCATAGTGCCTACAGCATTTGACTGCTAACCAGAAGGCTGGCAGTTCAAAACCACCAGCCACTCCTTGGAAGGAAGGTCGGGCAATTTACTTCCATAGAGATACTGCCTTGGAAACCCAAGGAGGGGTTGCTAGGAGTCGGATCCAACTTGACAGCAGTGAGAGAGTGTGGGATATGCTATTAGAATGTGTACAGATAAACAACAACAAAAAAAAATTGAAACACACTACAGTCGAGTGGAACGTGATTCATAGCGAACCCTCCTTGGGTTTCCGAGGCAGTATCACTACAGAAGTATATTGCCTAACCTTCCTTCCCAGGAGTGGCTGGTGGGTTTGAACCACCAGCCTTCTGGTTAGCAGTCAAATGCCTTAGGCGCTAGGCCACAAGAGCTAAGTAATGGCTAATTATCTTGCACAGAATTGGACAGGGTAGTGAGGGAGGTACACTCTTTGTACATTTATTATTATTATTATTACATTTAGGTCCTAATTCAATTTCTAACTTTCAGTTTAAATCAATAGAGGTTTCATTTTCGATTCCTTGAGGCAGTCTGATTTGTGCAAAAATTCATTTAATGCCCCGTAAGGTATGAAAATGAACTTGCCCTTCACCAAAACGTCCTTGCGGACATCAATGGGCTCCGGCGAGTCTTGGATGAGCTGACACTCTGCAGAACAGACCAGGAGCTGCAATACGAATCCCTGAGTGAGGAGATGACTTATCTCAAGAAAAACCATGAAGAGGTAGGAGAAGCTTTAATTCTAGTCAAATCATAGTTCTGTATATCTTAAATGCTTTATTATTATAATTACATTAATAATGTATGCTCATTGTAATAATCTGGGCAATGCCAGGGCATAGAAAGAATTCCATTTTCTCCCACTCTGCCCCTCAGATCCCATCCCCCAAGTAATAAATATTAACAATTTGTTCTGTATCCTTCAATTTTTTTAAATTGATATCATAATCTTCCTACTTGAAAACACCACATGGTTTTGCATTAATATAACTATCTTCCTTTAAACCAGATTATTTCATTCACAGGGCCATCTTTGGGCCAAACTTTTCACATACACACACATAAAAAACCCTCTCTGATTAGGAAAAGATGTCAATATACCTTCCACTGAAAAGAAACTGCTGAGTTTATTTTAGTATTTAACTTTGCATTATAATAACCTGATTATTTGACATTTAATACAGTAGTGAGTTTGGTTTGGTTTGGTAATACCAGACAGCTTCACCTCCCTCAAAAAGAAGAAAAAGATTATCCTGAAACTAATTCCAAGTTTCCAAAACAATGGATGAAAAATTGAAAAAGAAAAAAAACAACATACACACACTATATTTTCTGCAATTATATATATAAATCATCGTGTGTATGTACATACACACACACACACACACACACGATGACAGGAAGTGCCCCGTCATTGATTGTGGGTGGCTAAAACACCAAGTGTAGTTGCTCCAAATGGGAAAATCATAGGAGAGGGAAAGCAAAGGAATATTACAAAGAAAATAAACAACAAGAGAAACAAGGAGCAGGAGAGTAATAGGGCAGAGCTCTGGAAGAGTCAGACCCCAGAAAGTAGAAGCAAGAGAGTGCAAAGCAGACTCATGAGCTGTCAAGAGAGTGATGTCAAGAAAAGAAATGGACACCAGGGAAGGAAGACAAGAAATAGCAACCACAGCAGGTAAACATGCTGGAGGCATTAGGGTAGCATCAGGATTCACTGTCCCCTTTAAAGACCTATCAGTAGAAAGAGGGTATCTTTGAATGCATAGAGAATAGGAAGAAAGAGCCACTCACATGTCAGCATCCCCTGAGGGGATCACCAGTGACCAGTGTCCTGTGATAACTTCAACTAGTTGATTTTCTTTCAAACTTTTATAGCAACAAGAATTTTTCTTCAAATGGAATCTTACGCAAAATCCCAAAACATGGAAATACATCAGTGGTTTCCTCAGGCAATACACTAAGTCTTTTACTTTGGACATTGGAAAGCCACTGATCTAGGGTCATGAAAAGTAGTTTAAGAAAGCAGAGCTACCATGGTAAGAATCCATCAAAAACAGTTCAGATGAAAAGGTTAGCTACCTAAAGTACTCAAGTTCAGGTCCTTGGTCTGCAGGTTTGCCCAGAAATCCCTTCTCTGACTAGGTCAGGCAGCTTTATGATTGGACCTGGGATATATCCTAGAGCAGAGAGGCCTTAGAGTGTAATTACTAAGAGAAGACGCTCTATACCTGGCTTCTCCTCATTCAGATCCTGGCCTTTCCCAATACTGAGTAACTCAGGTGAGTTACTTACCTCTGTGTGCCTCCATTTCCTAATCTGTAAAATAAGTTTAATAATACCTACCTCATGTTGTTGTTGTTGTTGTTATGTGCCGTCAAGTCAGCCCTGACTCATAGCGACCCCTCCTTGGGTTTCCAAGGCAGTATCACTACGGAAGTAGGATTGCCCAACCTTCCTTCCGAGGAGTGGCTGGTGGG